GATGTTCAATATTCATAAAATTTTGGAATCCCAAGTAGAAATTTGACACCAAATTCCATGCATGGTTTATCGTTTCCGACCATATTTTATCAGAAAAATAATTCAAACACATTCCTAAACTAAAAGCACAAAGTTTCAGAAATACACATCCAGCTGAATTGTTCTAATACAAATACATAAATTTACTTATTTCGTAATTGGTGATGAAAACGTGTGGGACGTTACTGAGAAAAAATGAGACTAAAATTTAAAGTTAGAGTCTTTCAAGTTGAAGGGAGACAAGAAAACCTCGTTGGTTTGATAAGAAGATGGGACATACTCTACGCAAGTCAGAATTAAATGGACGCAGTACTGGAAGCACAAGGAGTGGTGGCAGAGAGTCAGTTGGAGAGAATTGCTTGAGTGAAAGCACTTCAGCCCACTCAACGTCTGGTGCTTATCTCCACATCCATCCAAAACGACGTCTCTGCAGAGTCTACATGCTTTGTTGAAGGGAAAAAGATTTGCCATTTTCCATTTTGGGGTAAAATCCGTTTTCCGACATTTCATGATCCCATTTAATATTTTTGAGTGCATTTCAAGAACTTAAGTCCTTCGTAACGTCTCTTATGTATACGACGAGTGTTTGACTTCCTCATCCCCATCGTTCCAATCCCCAGTTCGGGAGCAATATTTACTTCATGCCGGAGAAAGGTTCTCAACATGTACATCAACAGCTTTTATTGTTAATTAAAGAAATCGTAATTGATACTTTTGATAAATGATCCGATAAAAGAAAGGCTGGCTCGATTCATGAAATTCATCATAACGACCACAACCACGATTATGTTTCCTACCATATTGTCTCCCTAATTGAATTGGACACCAACAGGGCAGAAACAATTGAGACCCAATTAGGCCGGACTTTTTCAGCTGTTCATTAAAACTATCCCATATAATTCCTCTTAATGCCATTTCTACTTCTATCCTTCAGTTTACCCAGGGACACACGCATTGAGGAATATTTTCCCAAGAGGAAAATCCCATGATTTTCTATTCTACAATTCTACACAAAAGACGGGAAATGAACTGGCTTTCATTTCAACCATTTTTATTTCGTCGGAGGGATTTGTACCTTCATCCTCAATGAAAACATCCGTGATTATTGACCAAAAAGAGGGAGCACATTTAATGCATTTATCACTTCTTTCTTTGAGTTCATTAGAAAAAGGATGGGTATTGAATTCAGCAAACCACCTTTTCCTCACATTTGTACACATCCATATATATTATCAGTCATCATAAAAGGCTGGGAGAAGTAGTAGAGACAGTTCAGGTGGTGGTAAATGGTTGGCTAATAGCCTTGCTTATACTGTCACACAGGGTAGAAAAATAACATAAAACTCAGACTAATGGATGGGAAACATACATTTTTCGTATACGAGCGAATGTATCTGGTACAAGATCGATGGAAATGGAAGCGTAAAAGCAAACATCCTGTCCTGTCTTCGGACGAACTCAATTTTTGGCTACAAACAAACTGTTTTTATTTCTAGTCTGATGCACACTTACACGTTCGCCATACACACCCCCTGCTGAATCATGCCTTATTATTATCAATTTCCATCACCAGCAATCATCCAAATGTCCTCCTGTCTCCTCTCGAAAAAATGTCTGTCTGCTTCTCTGACGCAATGTTATAGCACAACTATATACTCCTCTACCCAACGTCCATTCAGCATTTCGGCCATCAGGAAGCAAATGAAAGAATACAAAAAGTTGGAAATCGGAGAGGGACCTTCCCATGAATGTGTGCTTGGTGAAATTCTAACCTATGTGAAAAATTGACATGACGCCAGTTCATGTATCTACTTATGTAGCTAGATGGACATTGGTTCATTTCCTATTATTCTGTGGGTTTTTTTACTTTTGTGGAGAATGTTCTCCACAAACTTAGTATTCTTAGTATTCTCCAATCAATAAATCAAAATTTACACCAAGTTTTTCCCTTTTCATGGTACAACAAAGAACTAAATATGCAACTTCAAACACCAATAATCAAATTATAAAAACATTGCAATCATGTATTTTATCGTGATTCTTGTGTAATATTATTAGTGATTTTCATGGTCGGTGGCGTGGTATGTCCTTTAGCGGACAGCATTGTATAGTCAATAGTCCACACCACACATATAGTTTATACACAATGAGAAAGTGGACAAAGTAAGGAAATATCTTTCCGCGTAAAAATACTCAATAATAAATACAAAGCAAGAGGGGTAGCAGGAACGGACAAACCAAGCTTTCATTGCTGACGAACAAGATCGTACGTACAAATGTACATATATAGTTGTATGAATGGCAAAAAAGTGTGGAGAATAAACTCGGATAAAGTGAAAAAGTTTCTCAATTATTTTTGCTTGAGTATACAGAAAATTTGGAGAAAGTTGAGTTGGAGGAAATAAGCAGCTTTGTTAGAAAGAGATTTATTAAGTTTGACTGGATCTGTCAACTCAGCGCTATTACTTTTTTTCTTTTTAATAATGGCCAGAATTTGATACCAGTAATCTCGACCACTGTGCTCGTTTTTTGTATGGTTTCCCTAAGCTGTGTCTATTTACGAAAATGAAATGATAATACCAATTAAAATTTGAAATAGAGGCACAATTCTGTTTGAAATATGGACATGAACAAACTAACCATAGTATATAGAAACATGATACATATGTATGCGTACATACATACATCGCTTCCCTCAGCTCAGGTAAATTCGATGAAATGAACTCGAGCTGCGAACAGAAATATTGTTATTTTGGAGCCTCTAATACCCAGGAACCTCCCCTTCGCCAATCTTTGCAACTCAACTGAAATGAAAGAGCGGATGTGTCTGATTACGAGAGTGATGGATTGACAGTTAGCGTGACGCCATAAAATTAGACGAGAGTGAAAATACTCTCGGAATCCATTCAGGATTTCTCCAAACACGTAAAAAATCGAATTATCCAAAAGTTTTATGCGCTGAATATCTGTACGCGAAAAACCCTCCATGACATAGAATGAGTATGTTAGATATGTTTACTTTGATGGTTTCGACTATGCAATCCTTTTCCCACATTAGATCTTATTAACATCATGTACAAAACACCCGTTGCAATTAAGTATACAAATCTGCGTAATACATATCAAAATTGCGCCATTGTTTTTGCTTATGCAGTGAAAATTTACTTGCAAACTTTGGTATTATTAAGTGAAAATTAAGTGTTTAGCCTGACCATCTCTTTTATTATTAAAATTGTTAAAAGAGATGGACACGTTATCGAATGAAAGTGACGGGATTCCAGAGAGACCAAACGACCCACACAAAGCAGTAACTTGTGAAACAAGTATATAATTCCTTCGTTTGTCGGCACCGAAACTGAAATTCACACTCAATTGATTCAAACGTAATAGTGCCACCGCCGCACCTTTAACAAAAAATCCACAGCCGTTCCATTACGATACGTCGACCAAATGGGAGACCGAAGAATCCATACCATATAATTCCTGTCAAAGAAGCCAACCGGTGGAAGTGGCAAATAAGTGGGTAAAATCGGCAAGAAGCAACCGTATCAAAGCAAAAACTGAGTGTTTCTCTGTTGAAGAGAACACATAATGGGAAACCCCCGTTTAATATACGTTGCCGAGAGAGAGAGGATCAAACAAGACGCGGCATGCGGTTCTTTGATCTTTCATGCATAACAGCACGAATGTAAAATTGTACATCGCGTGCCAAAATATCTATACTAATCATAACAATAAATCCTCAACCGTTTTCAATGCCTTTGATTGAAGTGCCATGCATTCGAGAGAGCGAACAAAAAGATTAGTTTGCCATCCACCCTACGATAGGTTTCCCAATGATTCGAAACCTAATTCTCAGTTCTAATTCTCCCACGAAGCAAAATGACATGTCGTCTTATAATCAGACGCTGTTATGTACACAGAATGTCCATAATATGTTCATGACGACTTTCTCCATAGAACTTGCATTCGTTACTAATGCATGGGGACGAATCACAATCAAAGTTTAGGATCCCATAAATATACAAATACATGCATTTAGACTATGTACAGCTAAACCAGTGGCGGTAGCTCATTGAAGGCTAATTTCCGACTCATTTCTAGCATCTGGTAGAATAAATCAACAATGATAAATTACACGCACTAAAACTTTTGGGTTGATACCATAAGCAAATGAAGAAACTGTTTCTTACAGTTATTTAGTAGATTGAGACTAAAGTTTAGTCTGCGAGGGTCGTGGGGTGATGGAAGCTGGCAGTGCAAAAAGGGTTTGGGTGTCACAGAAGCTCTTTCATGTCTTTTTCAGCCTTTGCCTGTCGTGTGACCCTACCACCGATGGATGTACGAAAGCAAGAGAGCATCTCCTCGGATGAGCAAAAGGAATGACTTTTTTACAAAGAGACCGAAACAATCCAAATATGTCTCCCAACCATCCACGGCTATGCACTACTAGTCTTTCCCTGTGCAATATATGTACTTCTGCTGTAACGAAACGCATAGACGAGATGAAGAGTATGCTTTAAACTCTGCTGGCTTTGATCTTTTCCGCTAGAATTCAATTGGTCATACTCCACCTTCGTCTCTATATTCTTTCATCTGTCGGCCTCTCTTTGCCCTTTGATCGTCAGTTGTGATTTGCTTTACTAATTTACACTCAACAGCCCGGCTTGGTCAAACCAAGCGAAAGTGCTGATGACGAGCGAGTCTGTCCGTACATAGTAGTGCTAAAGAGTGAGCAATAAAGTTCCGAGAACACCCAAACCACAAATCCAGACGATGGTCAAGTCAGTGCGTTTCTCATATTATGCACACGTAATGATATGCATGCATACGCTGCATTACGCATCTGCATATAAGTACGTTCATGCTTTTATCAATCTGTGTAATTAGGAACGAGGTACGTAGCTAGCTAAAATAGTCATGCAATGATTTAAGCAAGTATTTGGATAAAAATGACTTACGTTGCCATCCAGCTTCGAATATCTTCGAAGCCTGAGACGGCGCCCGAAAAAAGATATGGGACGAATTTTGGAAAAGTATGGTAACCGTTGGAGAAGGGGTAGGTGAAAGTTGTAGCCTCAAGTCTCACGTTGGTGGGGCGAAATGAGCCGATTTCCTCTTCGAACGGTGGTGTGGGGTTGAACTGGCTGTTTTCTCTCCTCTGCTTTTCCGTGCTTTCGAGCTGGGAAAGTTCTCCGGGACGTTCGGGGCAGGACTGTGCGGGCCACAGAGCTCACTCCAGCATTTTAAGAAAATCGGTACAACAGGGAAGAATCGTCCCTGTCGACGCAAACTCACGCATTTCATTTGCATAGGAATAATAATGGCTAATGTCCACTCTGATGAATGAAGATATGCGTGTATGCATATGTGTGAATGTGTATGTATATCGAACATTTTGTATTTAAGCTGGCCTTAAATCATAGTTTTATAATTTGTAATTTTAATGGAATCAATTACTAATCGTGATATAATAAATAAATAACTTTCCGAACATCATTTATTAGACAATTAAACTGAATTATTTATTTGATTTTTTTTTCAAAATTAAAATATTTTAATTATGTAGATGGGTCTTCAAATAATTTACATAAGCTCAGACTTTTGAGAATACTTATGTACCGCTGTACAAGTATTTAACTAATTTAACTGAGACAGGTGTATATAAAAGACGTTGGCTTTAATAAATTTTGAGCTAAAGTATGTCCCAAGATATTTGTATTTGCTTGTCGAAAAGTACTTGAGGATACTTGACTGAGCACCGTTGGGATTAATTTCAGAAAAACAAAAAAGTTTTAACTCCAGTTTGCAAGTAAAATGTGTTAATGAAAATGATGAGTCGTTTCATCATCATCTTGATTAAATACATATATCAAACTGTTATATGAGCATTCACAACAGAGTTCTTGTACTACGAATTCTGATTTTTTGTGTCCACAATCCCAAGGCACCTTTTTTAATGAGAAACGAGACAATAAGAATGCAAATCAAGAGAATCTAATAAAAGTGTGACATTTTTACAAGTCAAAGTAGAGCTCGAATTACTTTGTTGTTGCTCTTGCAGGCTTTGCATCTTGTTGTACGTAGTTTGAGATGGGGTGATTTTTTTAATTTCAAACAACGACCAAAGAAAGTGCTAAGTTTTTCGGATGAAAACTATTCATTATTAAGTAGTTCTATTCAAGAGTTGACTTGAGAGGAACTCTCTCCTCCATAGTTTTGCTTACTGCATGTTAAATTCCTGACGAGTTGGGATAATATGACATCGATATCAACATCTTTGGCACTATCTATTTATAAATAGATGCCACTTCTTAGTAATCTCAACGACAGTGGGAAACCCAACTCAACGTCTACCATGAACTCATTACGTATTATGTATTATTTCCATCTTTATGGACATTTATTTCGCTCATAGAATTTGTAGTTATCCAGAGAGATTGACGTACTTGTATATTCACAAGCGTTTTTTACTCTAATTAAAGTTCTGAGAACTTGCATAACTAACATTATTATACCATATTTCCATCGAGCATATACTGCACGTACTGAAAACTGGTGCAAAAAAGTATTATTCAGGAGACCATAAATACTGACTCCGAATTAACAACTTGGCCATTGTGTTGGAAAGCTTCATTTGTATCTCAATCTTTAATAATAATTTGGTTCAACATGATCTATAATACAAGCTTAAGCATTATAACTTTGTGCATTTTAACAATTATCCAAGCATCCTTGTCGCTTCATGATGAGGTTGTGTCCAAAGAAAATGAGACAACAATAGTTACAAATGGGACAAGCCAGATAACCCAGGGAAAGGCACTGGAAAAACATATTGTGTTTCCTTCTGAAGAAAATTCGATCACACCTAAAACAGCTAATAGTAGTTCCGTAAATGCCACAAATCAGACTGAAAAACTACCGGATGGTATGTGGAACCCATTCTCATCGACGTACATACATATGTATGTAATTTATAATTTCATGTACAGGGCACAATAGGGATAAACGACATGGTGGTGGTGCAGACGCAATTGTAATTGTGATAAAAAGTAAGAGAACGCACAATTCCATTTTTATGAATATTGATAATACCCTTGTTATTATTTCTGTTTAGAAAAAGGAGGTGGTGGTGGTAAAGGATTTGGTAAGCTAATTTGCAAATCTTTGAACAATTTATCTACTTGTAAATACTAACACTATGTAAAATGAACACAATTTTTAACAGGTGGTGGATATGGAGGTATGTTTTTACGTCACATACTTTATTTACTGAGAGTCTTAATTAATTTTCCCTATAGGATACGGTGGTGGGGGTAAGGGGGGTGGATTCGGGAGTTACGGAGGTGCGTAAATTATAACGCCAATGTTATGTTATATAGATCTACTCATCCTCAGTGTTTTAGTATCCTCATACCTCTGAATATATCGTCAGTTGTCGTTTTTTTGAACATACAGCCTATTTAAAAAGCTGCAAGATCAACTTAGAGTCAGATCCAGGGACAATTTATAGAATTGCCAAAATTGGTTTACAGTTCCTTTGATACGGAATATTTCTAGATTTTGGCGATCATTACCTCAGTTTATAATTTTTTTTATTAATTTTCCCTATAGGATACGGTGGTGGGGGTACGGGGGGTGGATTGGGGAGTTATGGAGGTGCGCAAATTATAACGCCAAATCATTTGGCCCAAATGTTATATTACACAGATCTACTCATCCTCAGTGTCTTAGTATCCTCTTACCTCTGAATATATCGTCAGTTGTCGTTTTTCGAACATGCAGCCTACCTATTTGAAAAGCTGCAAGATCAAATTAGAATCAGATCCAGGGACAATTTATAGAATTGCAAAACTTGATTTACAGTTCTTTTGATACGGAATATTTCTGGATTTTGGCGATCATTACCTCAGTTTATAATTTTTTAAATTAATTTTCCTTATAGGATACGGTGGGGGGAAGGGGTACAGTGCCTATGGGGGGTACGGTGGGGGTGGGGCCTATGGGGGGTACGGTGGGGGTGGGGCCTATGGGGGGTACGGCGGGGGTGGGGCTTATGGGGGGTACGATGGGGGTGGGGCTTATGGGGGGTACGGTGGGGGAGGTGCTTATGGAGGTTACTGATTATTTTAATTTAATAAAACTATAAATTTTGTAATTAAGTGCTAATTATCTAACAGGATACGGCAGATAAAAATACATGCGAAGATCTATATACATGGGATGCAATTACGACAATTAATATTGTCCGGTAGCAATTGGTTTTCAATAGGATTTTCCATTAAATAAATTATATGTGGACAATGAATTGTTAATTTTTTCATAACATTTTTCCATACAAAATTCATGCACGATTTATTGCAACAACATTTTAGCAAGTCATGAAGTGATTACGCAGAAACTGCAGTAGCCTTGACTGAACCTTTCTGGTTACGTAATTTTTAAAGTTTCTTTGCATAAACATCTAAAAATTGTATTTGCTATACGTTTGAGTATGAACTTGCGTAGCTTCATTAATTATCATTCTTAGAAATTTATACCGTTTCAAAAAACCTTTGATTGCCTCAGATAAAAAAACATGTCCAATGCATCCGGCATCCGTTGGCATCCGGCATTTCTGACTTCCAGAACCAAAAGTTATGTATGCAACTATTTATATGGTATTTATATGTGCATGTGTCATTTATTTATGTAACTTGCTGAATATTTATCGGCAGAGCAGAAATCTACAAGTCTCAGACGTCTTTAAAAGAAGATCCAATTTTTGTCATTTGCAAAACTTCAAAACATCTTTTGATTTATAAAACAACTTTCTTGATTCGAATATCTCTTTCACTTTGAGAAATCAAAGCACTTTCTCTGGAAACGGTGGGACCTCAAGTTCTGCTTTCATCTTTGAGTATAAATCAGACAAATCAGAGCGTCTAAATAAGAGGAGAGAACCCTTAAAGAGATACATACGAATGTGCCTGATATTAAATGGAAGCACGCACAGCCCAGCCTTCCAAGAAGGGAGGAACATATTTTCAGGTTACAAGAGTGATGAAGAAAGAGATTACTTTGAAAATCAGAGCAAATAAAGGTAACACGGGAGATATGTGTGCATGATGAGCGAACAAGGTGTAAGGCAGATGAACATGCTTATTGTGAGATAGAGAAAGATGAAAAGTGGGTATTTATAAGACATGCAAGTCGCACAAGTGCATGCAGTCAGCCTATTATGGGTGGATACTTATCAGAATATTTGTACATATGTGATGATATAAAGGCATATGCACATATGTATCAAACCCAAGCAGAGGAGTTGCTTACCAGAGACTCATTTATTGGGAAAGCAATTTCGAACACAAGCGTTCCTCCCTTTAATTTCAAAAGATGAAACGGAGGCCGTCTTTTTAAGTTTGTGGTTGGAGTGGAGCAAAGGATATGACGACGATGTACATGTGTAAGGGTGCTATTAAAGCTGTGGATGATGAAGGGGGTGCCTAGCCGCGTCTGATGATAGTACCACTACTGCAAGATCAAAGGGCTCCAAGGCGCAAATAGGACCAAGGATGAAAACCTGTGGTCCTAATTACATTCAAGTTGATTTAGCCTACCATTTCCGTCTCTTTTTGAACTCTGTCAAAGGGATTCGCTCTTTCATGCATGACTACCAATTTACCTAATATTTAATAGCAAATGATCGTCATAAGCTCTTGCACAGGAGAAGCGTGGCATATGTGAGCTCACACACACAACAACAAAGACAAACACATATAAACAGGGAGAAAGAGAGAGAAAGCACACAGATAATATGAGACAAAGATATGTTTGCCAAGTAAAATCTCGTGCCCAGTCAAAATCTCAACATCCTTCACTTTCTTGTCCCCTTTGAACAAACCTTCAAACGATTTTCAAAGAGAGAAATCTGTGGCTTCAAAGACAAAATTTTTTCTGTCTTTTTCCAAATTTAATAATTTTCGAACCTCTTTGATCTTGACTTCTTCAAAGCTTGTTTTTCATGGAGATGATGAGCGGGTTCCTTTTATCTTGTCCTTTAGAAGTGCTTTGCCAAATCTGGATGCATTTAAACTTTCTCTCATAAAAGGATTCTCGGAAAGTCGTTCTGTCGTCATATTCTATATCAACCAACATGCACGTGGTTAGTAATGATAGGAGTCCTCATAGGGACATAGGTCCACATACATATGTAGGTCCACCCCACCACCCCCGTTTTTATCGCCTACTGCCAAAAAACTGAACATATACATTTTTCCTGTCCTTTAAATCAAATAAAAATTTATTGTAAAAGTACTTTTGCATTGGAAGCGCGATCAAAGTAATCTGGTTCTGAATGGAACTAATTTATGAACATTTTATTCAATTTGCACCAACTATAGCTAGCCATGTTATGTAACAGGGAGCAATTAGTCAATTTATGAATATCAATCTATATCTTATGCCTGCTTGCCTAGATATAAGTATGAGCATGGAAAAGGAAATTTATGAAAGTGGAGAGGATGAAAATGATGCAGCAGGAGCAAGGGAAGCAGATATATTATAGTTCAGAATTAGCCTTTACTTTGCCAATGACGAGGACAGACTTCAAAAGGATGAATGTAGGTTAAAGTGTATTTTTCTCTTCGCAGTTAAAGAAAGGCGGACCTCAAAGAGTTCAGAGAGAAAGTTCAGAGGCTATAATAGATGAAAGCAGCCCGTCCAGGCATGGAGAATAATGGGAGAGAGAGAGAGGATGAACATGAAGAGCGCGCCTTTGTGCTACCTTAGTTTAACTATCAATATCAATGTAAACCTTCTGAGGACCGTTTTCTTTCATCAAGTCATCAAAGGCTTTTCCTGAAAGAAAGAGAAACATCAGAGAAAGAGAGAAAAAAGGCGATACGAAAGGAGTCAGAAAGGGACAGGAAGAGGGATGTAAAGCGTGGAGATCAAAGTCTTTCGCAGACATGAAAGGCTTTGATCAATGCCTTCCTCATTAATAATGTCCTGTGAACAGAATCACACTGATAAGTGCCACGACGATACATGCATCCATCCGCTTGGGGTGGGGGTTGCAGCTCTTCTCTGGCTCACAACAACTTCATCTTGTCACTCGTGTCCACATACTGGCCGCAGTGATATTTACATATGTCCCCAACAACGCCGCCAACAATGACATCACTTCTTTTACCACCAAATATTCTTAGAAGGATATAATTTATACGAGTGAAAGCTTAAAAAATTTGATATCGTCACTTCAGGTTATCAACAACAAATATTTATTTATACACGGCATACCTATGCACCATATAAATAGTTGGATGGGTAAGTATGATAATTGTCCTTGTACATAAGTGAATGCGGCATTCTCGTTGTCGTCGCCAGTTGTTGGGACATTTCGCGAATATTACGAGGATTGGACCGGCTACCACCACCATTTGCCACACCGATGACCTGTTCTCTAATCTCTCTACCACTTTATAACGTGATCAAAGCGATATTCAATTCAATGATCAAAGTGAACAAAGGAATACCCGCGACGACTTTGCAGCATGAGTGCTATTCGACCGCATTAAGCAGGTCCTATCCACCCCTCCCCCTCGTCGCCTATCTCATACTTACACACATATTGTGAACACATGAAAAGAGTGAAAGTTGGATGGGTGGGATACATCATAGCCCGCAGAAAACAAACCATGCTTACATATGTACTGTACAAGGCGCTATAATTTCCTTGCTTTCCTCTGGTTCGTTTCGTACTTATGCCGAAAACAGTTCTGCTGATAGTCCTTGAGGATAAAAAGATGAAAGAGGGAACTATCACTGATGAATGACTAAATCACAAGGCGTGTGCATGTGGGTAGACCCACATGCATGGAAATATGTATGCTCGTTCTAGCCCAAAGTTTAATTTCAAACCTTACTAATTGTGCGTTGAATGGTGGCGAGGGGTGAAAGCGGATCGGGTTATGTATGTAATTTCTGTCATTCTTGCGAGAGAAATTGCTAAAATCCTCTTGATTTCCATGCATGTTTTAACGAATCAATCATCAAGATTTATTTTATTTCGCCTTGGTAAGTACTTGGAAGAAAGGAGCGCTGGTGAGGTGCCTGAAAAGCCATGAAGAGCCGCACCCACTCCGAATCGTTCATTTCACCTTTACATCCTTCAGAGTCATCCATCTCCGTCACAATCCCTTCAGAGCAGACAGATCAAAAGGAAAAAGATCAGAGGGAACATGGGCAAAAAGGAGTTTCAATTAGACTCAAATATTTGATCCTCCATAATCTTCAGACAAAAATTTCCACCGAATAGATTTACCAAGCAAGAGATAGATGCTATCTCGCACTCGCTCAGCCATATAGCTCTCAGAGTCAAAGCTCAATGTGACTCTTTGTGCAGATCTCTCTCTCTCTCTCTCTCTCTCTCTCTTGTGCACTTGTGATGTTTGTGTCGGCCAGACTTCAAAGCACTTTTGGGATTTTCAAAGAAGCATTGTTTCACTTGGGTTGGATGTATTTTCAAATAAATATAAATAGAACATACGCCTACAGGGGCACAGATCATAACATTTCACTTGCGGGGAACAAGTGCCAACATTTTCAATAACAATAATGCACATGTGTGAAACATATAACCCCACAAGATCAAAACGATTGAGCTGAGGCAATGCAAATTATCCATTTATTAAAGTTTCTCATTTGGGTAATGTTCAATAAATCTTTTCAACATTTCTTTATAAATACATAAATGCCATGTGGACATAAGTACATCCAACTTTTATAGCGTCTCGTTCAACAGTCGTTATTCGAAGGTTCAAAATGCTTCATTTCTTTGGGGATGAGCTACATATAAGAGGAAAGCGTTGCTGGTGGTGCATGGTGAACTTTCTCCAGTCTGATATTCGCCACCCTGTTTTTGCCCAACACATTCCAATTGTGGGTCTGTGGGCCGGTGGTGGTAATAGAGGAGGCAGTTTTATGGGGAGGAGGGCCAGCGGCTTTCTATCAAACCTCATGTAGTCACTCGATGGTAAATGCTGAGCTGCGGTCTTCCTTTGATCTCGTGCGGCACTCCTTTTCATCGTCGGCTTTCCCTTTTGCCACGCGACACTGCCCGTTTTCTCCTCGCTCTCCTCTCCATCCACCCATCCACACTTCATTTCCGTCCTCGCCAAATAACTATCATCCACTTCCACTGATTGATCCTCAACATTATTATGACGTCCTTCCAGCCAGCCTAAACAAGTACGGGCCATATTCAATAAAACATTTTATAAATTCAGTGACAAGTTCACCTTAGTTTCCCCTCTCTGCAACATGTGCTGATGTATTTTGGAATGTACATCGTACAGTCGTGAAATGTTAAATTGTACGATTTAACCTTATTTATAATACAGATGACACTACTTTGCGATATTTTATTTATGATGCGACTATGTATGCATATCTTGGAAATTCTAGTGTGAAAATCACATCAACTTGACTCAAGGAGCATTTTATGAGGCGAATGCATAGATTCGATTTATGTGATGAACATTTCTTGAGTGAAATCCCAGAATCCAATCGGTCACAACTTTGGCTGGCTATACGCACCTTTCTTTCTTTCTATCCATCAAGTTCATTTTTCTTTCTTGCTTTGCTTTGCTCTCAGTCAGAAGAGAAAACATTTCCTTTCATGTTGGTCTTCTCCTGTGTCAGTCACTTTTTTGAAACGAAAATTGCAGTACAAAAGCTGCGAACGAAATTGAGGAACTTCAAAAAGTTTTTTCCCTTTCATCGCAAAAGAAACGTAAATCCAATGACTGCACTCGAAAAGGTTTTACATTGGTTGATAATCATAAAATTATAGGAGGTGAATCGAACGATGAATGAAATTACGAATGGAGAAAGTATCTTCTGCATGTATTCTTGTTCTACAAAAAGAACACTGTTACCGAAAAGCAACTCATGGAAAGCAGTGGTTTGTTTGCGTTCGTGAGAGAGGATTGTACAATTATAACTTTTTGTTCATTGATTGAAAAAATATTAAAAACACATCAATATTACACACGTAGTTTGTAGAATAAAAGCTTCTAAGCATAATTCAACTCGAATGCTCCCGTTTGCTCGTAAAGTTTTTTCTTTTAAAATTTAGTAAGGCAAAAAGGAAGACAAAGCAAGATTGCATACAAGCATTTTTGAATCGTGGATAACGTTGCCAAAGTTGAAAGGCTTTTTGTGAATCAACCATTTAATGTTTACCAAAATCTGCTTGGAAATCTTATTGTGAATATTCTGCCTATTTATTTCAATCATTATTGCACAAAAGTAAAGAAAATAACTTGAGTATTACAAGATACGGTGCATTAATTTTACATGTATTTTCGAAGCGAACTTTACTAGATATGTACATATAAATACATATAGTATGGAGGAATTGGAATTGAGAAACTGTGATCTGTTGCTGCCTGCCTGCCAGTCGCTGCCATTATGAAAACAACATTACCCAAGTTAAGTTTAAGAGAAAGCACTATAAGACCAGGATCTTATTGTATTGCACTCTTTGTACTTTTTGCAATATTATGCATATTATTAAAGCGAAATTCCACTTTCTTGTAAAACTTGTTCACTTTGATGTTACCTTTGTGCAAAGCCGCCTGAGTTGAGATGGGGTAAAGAATTTATTTTCTTCTACAAAGAGATGAAACGATGAAAGTGGGTACACAATGAAAAAGTTAGCAAAGCAAAACTATCTCTTCTATGTCTACGTATAGAAGAGACGGACAAAAACTGAGCGTTTTCAATAAATGTGACGCTAAAAAACGTCTAGCCGGGATGGCTTAAACCATATACATGGCAGATTAAATTATACATACCTATAAGTATGTATAGTGTCCGGCATGAAAATAATTACTAGTCACAGTAATGGGCAAGAGCTTGTGAATCTGACTGAGGCTGGCCCATTAAAAATACGAGACAATCATTTTTGGCAACGCAGTGTAGGATATATTAGCAACAATTAATAATACAACAATATTTTTACAACTAGTTCATAAGCAGTACACTACTAATCATTGATTTGGAATGTCGAAGCATAAAAATTGTAAACGAGTTATCTTGCGATGATCATCCAGTAACGCTTGGACACGTCTAAATTGGGGTGGGAAATATACATACTTATTAGATATCAGAAGAGAGGCTGAGCGTTACGTATGTTTCATAAACGGATAATCTCACCTACTACCCTTTAGTAAATCTTTTGAACGGGGTATTAATCCTAGCGTATCGTTAACATGAGCTCTAAAATTTGGTAGGAAATATTTCAATTATTAGATAATTCATCCATGATCGTATATATGTGCAAAGTACGTGACCCTATCAACTAATGTACCTTGAATTTTTATTGAGAAAAGGAGATATCGCTTCTTTAAAGAGAAAAGCATCAAATTATTCGTCATTTCTTCTACAGTGCAATTTTGTCATAAAATCAAAATAATTTTATTCAATTTACCTTGAAAAGCAGCAATATCCAACGTGGCCTGTAATGACCCGTTCTCACTGAATTTTGCAACACATGAAAAAAGTCTAGTGAATTCTTCACAAACGTTTTCGACAACTTGAGCCATCAGGGATATCACAAGTTTTTCTGATACAGCAGTAACCTAAAAATTGCAATGCATATATGTATCAGTACATGTGTACTTAATATTATGCACATCATTATCCACGGTTCATCTCGGACGAATAGTCACTAAAATGTAAAATTACTTCTGCAATGACTTCAATCATCCCCAAAAGAGAACGTGTAACATAAGGCCGAACAGCACAGGGTTCATTGCATTTCTCCCAATCAAATCGACCAGCATACATTGTTTGCTCAATCTGAAACAAAGAAAAATTAGGAGGTCATTCATCCATGTTTTTTGCAACGACAGTAGTAAATACTATTAGTAAATAATACCTGCCCAACGACTGGTTCATATTTCATTTCTGTGTACTTAACAAACGTCAAATTTTCAATTCCCTACAAAAAGGATATACATAAATGTTACATGGAAATAAATCCTACACGACAATGAACATTAATTAATAAATAATTACATGGATGCCACGTCGAGCGATTTCAACTGCTTCACTCATGTCCGGAAATCCTAGCTTAGTAAGTGATTGCTGAATTTGAGGTAAAATTACTTCTTTGGTGAAGGAACAGTTGTTAAGAATTAGCAATAAGCAAGTGGAATGGGAGGGTGGGGCCACCATCTTTGTTTCGGGATTTGATGATGCATTACTGCTCCCAAATTTTAATGGACTTTTACTTCTTGAAATGAGCATCTCCAAGGTCTAAGAATGTATGGAATAGTTTTTGCATTACAGTTACATATAAGTATATTAACGAATAATTGGGTTTATGAAGGTATTAAACCGTACATCCGAAAATGATGAAAGTGCTTTCCCCATATTTTGTTGTAAATTCCTTTTAACATCTTCGCTTTTTAAGAGCATATTTTCGTCAGAGAATTTTTGTAAAAGTACTTCCTTAATAACTTTTGCAGAGTTTATCACAAGGGTTTCATATTTTGATGGCTGTAAATTGATAATTATTATACATATTTATATATTGATTATATTGATAATAGCTTAAAATAATACTTGAGACAAAATTATGAAGTATGTACCAATGCTGTTGTAAATCCATAGTCTGTGGGTTCACTGGTCCAAGTTTCCTGCTTAAACAGCTCTTCAATTTGAACAGAAAGTTGGTGAACCATTAGATCCAACAAATATGATCTGGAGAACATTTTAAACCTTGTAACGTAAATTTTGTATGGAATTTAAACACTTGTTTTATGTATTTAGTAGGATTACCTGAGTTCAAATAACAATTGCTTCAGAAGTTCTGACATTTCCTTTGGTGTATCCAATTCCAAGAAGACAGTATACGTGTCTTTTATAATAGGAATACAATTTTTAAGGCAATCATTTAAAGAATCTGAACTTCGATTCCATGTAAACTCTGATTTCTTGTGTGGAATTAAGCAACTTGTAACAAGGGTGGCAAACAGTTGGGTAATAGAAACCAACATTTTCTAAACAAGAAAAAACGCAAACGTAATGGTATGTATGCATTATAATAAACTGTGTTGCATATGCATTGCTCGTAAACATACCTTCATATCTGTTTGTCGGCTCATATTAGGTTTTACGGCTAATTTTCCTTTAAAATAATCTTGCCCAAAGTGCCAAAAGTCAGGAAAGCACGTTAAAAATATATCACACAAGTTTTCGATAAACACTACTTCCGCTGGCTGTGATGCCTAAACATAAACACATAAATCAATTGAGCATACCCATAGCATACTACTAATTATAGTGGACAAGATATCAATACCAATTGTGGATCATGTTTTGAAGGTGTCCTAAGAATATCCTTTGGATATTCTGAGGATGATAATTGTTGAAAACAGTTTTTCATGGACGTGGATATAAATTCGTAATGACAAGTGAGACAGTCCCACCCTAGGTCTTCGCTACATTCCAGGGTTCTAAGGTAGCCTAGCATGATTCTTTGGTCTTCAGCATTTGGAGGTTTTTCCAACAATTTTCTTTTCAGAGTGTCTCTCAATTTTTGAACCCGTGATTCTACCTCCTTTTGAAACTTTCGGAAAATCTGAAAGAAGATAACGTAATTTTTGGTAAATGTAATAGTCAAAAGTATAAAGTTACTCAAGCAAGCAATAAAGAAAAATGCGCACAGGCTTATCCAATTCTGGTTGTTGAAACAAGGTTTTAGCACGGCCATAGTCATTAATTGCCTGATCAAACTCTTCCTTTTGTATTGAAGAATCCATCGTTCCAGGCAAACTAAACAGAAACTTGAATCTTTGGTAGCCACTTAATGCATTTCTAGTCATATCTGCTCGGTCTTTTTTCGCCAGTACCCCTTGAAAAAGTTTCCATGCTTCTCTTTCACAAACTGGAATAAATCACGCTTGCATTGCACGTACGTATTTACTAATACATCATTAGTTATAACAATTCCGTTGTATCACAAGGTACTCACCTCCAATCGAGTCGTCAATCTGAGACACGTAAGAGTTTGGATTTGTTTTCCGATAGCTATCACATTTCTCCTTCAGCTCAATCAGAGCATCCAATTGTCCCATTACTGAATTAATATTTTCCTGAAGGCATCAAACAGCATCAATTAATTTTTATCAAACTAGCCTATACCATAAAATCGCATTAGTATGCATACCTTCAAAAAAGATAACTTGCCCTCTGTGGACTGAAAGTTTACTTTCCTACCAAGGAAATGTAAACCTGATTTTAAGTCTTCGAAACTTGTGGCATGATGATTTTCCAGGAGAAACCAAGCACCAGAGAAATTGTCAGCTCTGAGATTTCCACTACCATCAGGAAATAGTTCTACTAATTCTTCCACGGGGTATTTTTTCCTGTCAAACCGCACACATACATGTATTACATGACGAAAAAGCTTGTAATTATTCTTGTTAAATTTCATTACTCGTTGCCTTCCACCGAAATTTGGAGAGGGTCTTCCTGTTGATACGTGGAGATGGACAATGGACGAGGACCAACGCTGACCGTTTCCTCCACCCACACAGCACTCTCTTTGGTGGGACCCACATTAGGCTCTAAATAGCCTAACAATTACGAAAAGCTTGTTAAACATAATGTGAGTTTTCCTATTATTGCCGGGTGTGTTCCGCAGAACTGTAAACTTAGTTATGTAAATTACCCCTAAACTGGACAGTTGACGAGCCGATTCCTCCAGACTTTGTGAGAACAACAATGTCCCCCTTGGTACGGCAGAGGAGCGTTCTGGCCAGAATTTTATTAGGGGAAACCCACTCAGAGGTTAACAAGACGTCGACACCACAAATCTCGAGACCAATAATGTCCGCTTGGGAACGACCCAGACGCTCTCCGCGAATGGTGACCTTTGTACCTGGGGGTCCCTCCTTGGGGGATATCCCAGTTACTTGGGGAGCATTTGCCATTTTCTTGGATGTCAAAATATTAAATTATTCTGCAGATGTTTAACACATATATAATATAAAGTGTATTATTGTGTACCTGTATACCTGTGTTTAATACGCCTTCCCGTATGATTAGTTTGAAATTGGGGCGTCAATAATCCCCCTTAACATTGAATCATCATCAAGCAAGTTGTTTTTGTATAATGTTATGGTTTTCCGTTTACGCAGACACTTCAGATTGCCTCAGCCTCGATGCCACGATTCAGCCATTGTCTCATGATGAGTATTTGTAATGTGACAAATTTTCTCATCTTCTTCTACATACATCTTGATAATGAATGGCAGATAGCATTCGAAATATTTACAAAATAAAACAAACTTTTTCTTCGATTTTTCCACTAAACTCCGTGTAATCCAATTATTAAATTTGTGATGTATTTAAATAGCAATTAAATTAGTAATCAACTAAAATGAAATACCGCATTTAAGTAGAATATTGAAATACACTCAACCAAACTTTAAATATTATTTATTTATTTATTAATTCTTATTACATATTCTTGATTTGGTTTACATATGTGTATAATGCAATATTGAGAATGTGTGGAATCGCAAATTGAAAATGTTGTCTCATTTTCATGTAGCAAACATCTGCATGATGATTTTCGCATCTCCTTAAATGTGGGGTTTAATAGTTACTTACATTATATAATTAGCAAAACTGTTAAAATAATCGTACATACACATTGTGAAATTAAAACATTTGACCTGCACACTTTTAAACTTGTTAAATTATCACATCATTGTTAGCGAACTTAATCTCATCATCCAATAAATAAGTCACTAGCCATGACGTGTTTAAAAATGATCTTCTATTTATGATCTGATCCAACTAGTTTGGCTTTTTATTGGTTTTGCTCTTGGCACTTTTTGTTACGTCATTCTAGCATCGATAATGAATGAGTTCATTACCTTTTTGCGTATAGTTTTGCATATATATTTTTGTGCATCTGTGCTTCAAAATTGTCCAATTGTATCCTTATTTGCGAAGGTGTCTCTCGTGCTCATTCTTTCAGTGCAATGAGCGATGGTGTTTAACCGTTCTTTGCAAAACTTGTATCCGCTCCGCTAGAATTGATGAATATATATTACAAATATGTTTTTAATCCAGATACAAACATACTCCAAGAAAATCTTCTCAAGCGACTTGTGCACAATTAAGAGCAAGATTTGACTTGTTGCATGCAAGACTGAATGAAATTAGTGTCAGTAAAACAATGGGAATAAAGCTGCAGGCTAGCAGGTGAAGAAAAGAGCGCAAATGATAATGATAAAGGTTATTCAGTCGGGTTTATTTTTTTTAATCAATAGAAAACAATCACTTGAAATTTCAGGACGTAACAACAAAATAACAAATTATTTACACGTCGAGTTCATAAGGTCCGTTGGGCAATGGGAGGATGCCGCACTGCTTTACGGTCACAGTTTCGTAGGGTTTATCCTCCGAGTTGACTGGTGTGGCCTCGATAACTTTCACAGTCTCGTCAAATCCTTCAATCACCTATGTACACAAGTGCATACGTATTATGAAACAATTTCGAATTATAAATCTCCTAAACTGCACCACATATAAGCATATCTAATTTCTTATTATAGTTTTGCAAAGTATGTACCTTTCCAAACACTACGTGTTTGTTATCTGAAGAGAACAAATCGTCGTTACACATACATGTTTGTAAAACCTTAATATGTTAATCAACATTTTTCTAAATTCTCACCCAGCCAACTTGTTTTAACGGTCGTGATAAAAAATTGACAACCATTTGTGTCTAGAAGAAAATAATTCTTGCTATCAACTTGAATGCATGATATTTCTACTGTAAATGCGTAGATACTTACTGGGTCCAGAGTTTGCCATACTGAGAATTCCAGGTCCTGCGAATTTTTTTAAAGATACAATTATTCTGAATGTTATTATCTTTAATATTAGTTTTTAATTCTATTCGAACCAGTGTGCTTAAGAATAAAGTTTTCATCATCGAATTGTTGTCCGAAAATGCTAGTTGACCCTCTGCCATTTCCTTGAATAACATCACCCCCCTGAATCATGAAGTCCTTGATAATTCTACAGAAAAAATAGATAACTAACGGTTTTTAACACATTCTGGCATCATGTGAGAATTAATTAAGAAAATAAGTACCGATGGAAAATTGAGCCAGTGTACGATTTGCCATTCACTCCTGGGGAGCACAGGGTAACAAAGTTCCGAACAGTATTGGGAACCACCTCTCCAAATAAACCAATTTTAATTCTCCCGACGGGTTGTTGGCCAATCGAAACATCGAAATACACTTGGTCAGTCACTTTGACGGCCTGGTTTAACATGAAGATGTTAAAATTATATCACGCATATTACTCTAAAAATTCTGGAGAATAGTTATTACATGATTTGCAACTAACCTGCGAACTGGCGATGACAGCCGCTACCAGAGTAAGCAGTATAGCTCTCATTATGAAATTGTGGACGCTCGTTCACCAACCCAGGAGAATTACCAGACTTGGAAATTTAACAATGCTCTCAAACTGGCTATTTCTAAGAGAATGACAAGAGTTGAAGGTTCTCGGGCTTATTTATAACCGGATTAGGTGAGGATGTGGAAGTTTCTTTTGAGACCTAACAACAAGATGAATCTTTACAAAGTTGCAATGTAAAAATCCCTTCAAGAGCAATGCACCACCACCAAAAACAAGATTTTCACAGCATTATTTTACATCATAGGAGGGTGAACTTTATTGGAGGAGCTGCTTTATAGTGAGAGTGACTAGTTCTCCAAGTTACATAGCTTGAAGCTCTTCTTTTAGAGTTGAATCTTTCTCATATCCTCGGACATTGCAATGACATAACGTGCTCAAGCTGGGCTTTGCAAAGGGGATGAACTGGTTGAAGAAGGCGAATTTGCATGCAACATGCAACCAGGCAATATTCATGTTTATTTGTACATATTTACTTACACACGTTACGTTTCTTTATTGAAGGCATTATTGATACGTATCTAATAAAAGTTTGCTCTTTGGATACATGCAAAAGTTCAATAAGGAGGAAAATCACGGAAGTAAAAATCAAGTGTTTGACAAGATTAAACATATTGACAAGTATAAATGAATGTGAACATGGGATATTTATGTATGGGTGGAGTTCGCTTTCGTGGATTAATATACGATAATATGCTAATTTCATTTTATTCTGAGCTGTGCTATTTTAATTTCTCATCTATTTGCTACCATACTAAAAATTATTGCTTTCAAAATGTGTCATTGGGAATATTACTCCAAATTCTTTGACTCGTTCTTGGGCAAATATACCACTACTTCCTCACCATCGGCTCTATCTGTCATTTTCACAGCCTGCAGTAGAGAATATTCATTTCATTCAGATAAGCATCCTTTCAGCATATGTGTATTATATGCCAAACAACAAAACTTGTCAATATGAAAGATTAACTCACTCTGCTTGCACAAAATGATCTTGGAATAACCAAACGATTCCGAATGCACGATCCCTTAATCGTTACACTTTTTGACGTGCCTCCTTCAATGTAGCAAATTGCAGTAGTTTTAAACCTAATGTTTGGATGTCCATAAAAGACGAATGTAAAACTGAGAGTATTTCCGGCTGTAATCAAAGAACACAAATTAATAAATGAAAATTAAATGGGGCAATGCAGACCACAAAAATATTTCCTTACCAGACATTATGCCCGACAAAGGGATGATGTCCAGCACTTCATTGACTGAAATTGGTCCAGTGTATTTGGTAATGTTCCGATTAAAGCTCAAATAGTTGAATTCATCTTCAGCTTCTTCCTGGGCATCCTCCAATCCCACCATGCTCAACATTTTGGAGCGAAACGATTGTTGCAGAGAAATCTGACCTGCTTCGTCCAACTCTGCAAGGCTTATTTCGGACTCCTTTTCATCCGCCACTTTCTCCTCCCCACCGTCAATCTGGGCAATTTCCCCCCTATTCCGCATGCATAAATCATTAATATATTGATTCAATTGACCTATAAATGTGTAACCAAAAATCGAATTAATAGCAAACTATCACTCACAATGAGTGTTCGGAGGAGTCTGGTGAACGCAAGTCACTACAGTGAGCGAAGCTCGACGGGGTTTTCTGAACGCCATCATCCAGTGGTAACGGAACGTTTGCAGTTTCGTCGCCATTCTCGAGTTCCAAGTCTTCATTGTTTTCTTCCTCCTCATCCTCAAGTTGTTTACTCGCCTCGTCCACTTTGGAGTCCTCTTTCGCCTCTTTCTTTCCATCCTTTTTGTCTCTCTTACCCTCGTCCTTTTTATTGCCCTTATTGGTTTCATCAATTTTCTCATTGCTTGGGCTGTAATTGTCCTTGTCCTTGGTTGCATCATGCTTTTTGTCTTTAGCGTCTGCTTTTTTATGACTCGATTCTTGTCTCTTTTCAATTTCTAACTTTTTGTCATTTGAATCACGTCGTTTATTCTCTTTCTTCTCGCCAGTCTCTGCTTTCTTTTCTTTCTCTTTTGAGTCTGGCTTTTTCTCATTTGAATTTGGTTTAGACGGACCTGGATGCAATTTTGATTGGTCAAAATCTGACTTTGCATGCTCAGAGTCGTCTGAATCTTGTCTTGTCTGATCCGTATCATTTCTTTTGTTGGGACTCTGCTGTGATGACTCTATTTCCTGTTTACTTGAGCTACGTTTTTTCTCGGAGGCTGGCTCAGAGTTTTGTTCTTCAATTTTCTTATCACTGGTTTCTTGTTTCTTATTGTCATTTGAACTGTGAGTTTTGTCACTAGAGTCGGAATCTTTTCCATCGGAAACGGAACTCCTCTGATTATTACTTATTGTGTTTACCAACTTATCCGATTCCTGCTTCTCAGATTTGTCAACACTTTTCTTACCAACTTTATCTTGTTCTATTGTCTCGACTTTCTTTTCTGGAAGAGTTCCTTGCACTTCCTGATTCTCTCCATCCTTTCCATTAGTTAACGCTTCTGTTGGTTCTTTCTTGTCAATTTTCGAATCCTCGCTTTTTGACCGTTTTTTACTTTCTCCTTCATCCACTGTCTTTTTTCGTGGTTGTGGCTCACTCCCCACATTTTCACCGGTCTCTTGTTCAACATCATTCACAAGATTTCTTGGCACTTCACTTTCTTCCTCCTCTTCCTCTTCTTCCTCGTCTTCCTCCCCCAACGAGTACTCATCGTAAATCACTTCTGCAAAACCTTCTTCTTCACCGTAATCTTCTTCTTCGTCGTCGTCCTCCTCTTCATCATCCTCTTCAAATTCGATGATTGTGCTCCCAGGTTTAATGTACCATTTGTATGCTAAACAGAATACGCCAGGGTTGAATACCGCAAACTCTTCGACAGCTTCAGTCCCATTAACAATTGCCTTGAACTCGATTTTGTTTTTGGGAAAATTCATTGTTGGGAAGTGTACCTCTCCACGCAACTTAATTCTTTCCTGGGATTGAAAACATATCCATAAACATTTTTTCACTTAATGTACAACCATTTAATTGATTAAGTACAATTCCAGGAAGGTCAACGTTGGTGGCAACAAGGACAGAATCGAAAAACACACTCCCTCGATCTTTCCGCAAATGACGCCCATCGAAATTAATTGTGAGCCTAATGATTTCTTCAGCAGCAAATTCATACACCCATTCTTCTACTGGACTCTGGTTTTGGTGCACTACAATCGAAAATGGAAAGGAAGTCGTGAACTTTACACCCACCGGAAGCTGTCCAGTATTCTCAATCTTGATTGTATCTATTGTATTGATACCAAATGCCCAGAACATGGTAAAAGTGTTATTTTTATAGGATGATGAACAAATTTAAATAATTTCAACCTCGTTGTTCAAAGCTTTCTTGAACTGGGGACGCATCAATTCGGAACAACATTGAAGTAGTTGAGAAATTCAAATTTACCGACTCAATTGTTGCTTTGAATTTCAAATGCCTGGAAATTATTGGGTGATAAATGCTTTCATTTTTATCTTTCTTTTTCTTCACAATTTTAGGAGCATTAGATTTTTCTGGAGGTTTCGGTGTGTATGTCCACAAAACAAAATTCTCGTCAACAATCTTGTTTCTGCAAGGAACTTGAGTTAAAGAGACTTGAAAGCTTAAAAAACCGGAAACATGTAATTACGTTGGTGAAATTGCCGAGAATGTGACCGACAATGTAGAATTAGGTTGAAGCAGTTTCTTGAACGGAGTAATTGAGAAAACCGTTCGCTTTCTGTGAGTTTTGAATGCAAAGTAATACAAGGTGTACAATACAGTATGATAAAACTGTCGAATATCTCACGTATAAAAATCTTCTGGCAAATTGGCATCAGATGGAGAGGCAGGTGCCTTGGATCGTATAAATCTAGGCTGAGGCTTTGGAGGATATTCTGGAGGAGGGTCTTTAACATGACGCCACTCTAACACTTTGGGGAGATGACCAACGTTCTTGATATCGTACTGAAATGACTTTTCCATATTTCTGTAATGAAATCCATAGGAAAAAGTTTACTAGACTACGGTGGAATAAGCTATTTGTAATCGAGTCTACGCGTGTATATAGATATGTATCTTACGTGAAAATTGTTCCAAAGTCAATTAGATCTTGCCACTGTAACTCTGGCTTAAACTCTAAACTGGTACCAATACCTCGAACCGTCATTTTTACATCGACAAAGTTGAGCGATTCTTGCATTTCCACTCGAAGAACTGCGTTATGGATCCCACTTTCTCGAAGCGTTGTGGTTACTACAAGAGTCCCAGAACCGTTCGGTTCAATCATTCCAATTTCTTTGTCAATCTCCCAATGATCCCCATTGCGCTTGACAGTTTGCTGTTGCGATGAAATAGTATTTAGTTAATAGAACAATAATAATTTATAAATCTGTGAATTTGGAACATTTTCCAATAGAAAGAGTGAGGAAGAGATAATAAAACAATTACAATTAAGGCCACATAGTGTGCAGTTAATGGGGATTTGTTAATGATGTCGACGGAAGTTGACACAGGAGTCATTACGTCAGTGTCGCCAAAGTCGACTAAGGTCGGATTTGCCTCTAGTCGTGAAGGAATGGAATCAATTTTAAGGACAAACGTAAAGAGTTTCTCTTCTCTGGCTACAGTATAGAAGCTGAAAATGACAATCAACGTACATATATATATTTACACGAAATATTTACAGAATAGGTGCAAATAACCGTAATAAAATTATTACTCCAAGTGGGCTGTGATCCCTTTGCCTACTGCGTTGCAAATTATAGTCACAGGAATTGAGGTTACGTCGCGAGCTGTAGCCACACCCACCAAGTTATCTGATTGGATTTTGATTTTAGCAGATTTCTGAAATTATAACGTGACATCTTTTGAGTCATCAATATTCATGATAATAAAAATCCATAATTAAAATATCTAGCATGGTTTATGAACATAAGCAGGAAAATGGTTATGTAATTGGAAGGTCCGTTACTTGTGGCACGACACAATAGCAGGTGGACAATTCCGTGTTATTTCGAACTTGAAATTCGACCGTGTATGCAAAGTGTGTGTAGCAATCGTTGACGTAAACTTCTGGGGTTTCGGGCGTGAGAACGGGAACTGTGCAGCAAGCTGTGATTGGAAACCACGCTACGTCCTCCACCAAAGATCCATCAGTGTCCACAAGATAGCAAACCACGTTGTTTTTAATTTCACGCACTTGATTGGCACAGAGGGTAAGCTAACCATATCCAAGTGTAAATATGTAGTACATATGTACATATATCGTGCATAAGTAATTTCTATTAATGGCTTTTACTGTAATATTTTGCATCCCTTTGGGTCTTAAAGTGAATCTTGTGGGCTCCAGAACAAATTCTGCAGGGTCTGGATCAAACTTAAAATTTTCTGTTTTAAAGGATTCCAAAATCTGGTTATAATCAATGAGTGGATCCGTGCCGTTCTCTTCCATTTTCAGGAAAATTTCCACGTAATTTAAAGAATCATTGATAAGAGAAAGTTGATATGTTTTAGGGAAACCTACAGATTTCAAATATACAAATATGCATACATCATGTAATTATAATATAATTACATCGCTGTAGTAAAATTAATTTATACAAAGTATCGAGTGAGTAAAAATACCATAGGAAACTAATCCAAGTTGAGCATCACGTCCAAGAAAGTGAACTTTCGGAAATGAAACAGCGCCCCTGAAATATGCAAATAAATTTCCTCTTAAACTGTTTAGCGTGCTTTGTACTTTTGTGCACAACAATTTTAAGATACGCGGACTAATTACTTTACTGTTATGTAAATAATCTCCTCGCTACTTGTTATTACAAATTTTAGCTCTTCGTGAAATTCTACAGGTTTCCCTGAGCAAGCAAAGGTCACATAGAATGCACTGTGTTCATTCGGAGCCAGCTTGATTCGCTTAGGTTCAACTTTCATGGACAATGCTGAGGAATTCGAAACTGGGCCAAAGGACTCTACTCTGCCAGGAATTTCTCCAGAGTTCACTACAGGGATCTGCAAAGTTAAGGATGTGAGATGCTTCCAAGTATTATAGTGCAAATAACCGTATGGATATGTGTAAGAATTTAACCTCATAACAATGGGTTCCTCCCAAGAAAACCGACCCTACATCCAAAACTTCGAATCCAAATTTAAACTTTGGACCAAGTCCTTTCCCCGAAATGTACAATGGAATTCTCTCTTCTCGCCCAGTGATATCCAAAAATGCTGTTGTGTTGATGATTGAAGATTCTGTTGGTCCAAATATAACATGTACATCCATCGAACTGCGGGGTTGAACTTGCCCTACCTGTTCGACGCATAATAACAAGCACTGATCATAAAATTGCAAAATATTTAAGTATAAAATACACTAAATATCAATACCAGAGGTTGGATGATGATATTTTCATGGGAGAATTCCTCTTGGATGGAAAACTTATTCCAGCCACTTATTTGATCATCCAACCCCAAGGCAAATCCAAGGCAATCGTCATTTCCTTCAGAACATTGTTCCAATAGGTCAATGGCTCTGCTCAAATTGTCCTGATCGGTATCACCAATGGCACTAATAGAGTCTTCATTCCTTTAATTTATTCATTTAATGTCCGTTTTTATCACTCGTGTCTCATGAAATAGTATTTAGCAAATCAAATTATATTTATACTTACCATGCACCATCCACAATTGCACGAGACACAGGGTTCTTGGACCATTTGAAATTTAGTATGATATCACTATTATTCTCTATACAACAGCGAACTTTGGTCTTCATGCCCAAGTAGGTGTCCTCACACTGGACAACTTGAGGGGCCAAAGTTATATCCTCATCGACAGTTTCCGCTTTCAGATAAACATAAATTTCTTCGCCTGAAATTTGAATTATTCACAAAATATGTGTCTTGCATATTTAACATTTTTTATGATAACTAAAATCTAAGTTCTTTATCATTTATTGAAATTAATAAAAACGAGTATTTAATTTCAATACCGTTATCATATTTAATTAAGAGATGTCCATCGGTGATTCCTTTTGAATTAGAGTAATGTGACACTTCCAAATTGAACGTTTCTCGAGGTGAGACTATACCTTTCTCTGGTTTGACACCGAATTGCCTACAAAAGATAAAGTCCGAGTTATTCAACTCCAAATATTTATTACTGAAATAAAACCATGATAAGGAATGTATGTGTTACCCAGTTGTAGACAATGTAAATCTGGCCGGTCTTGTTCCCAAATTATAAACTGGGATAATTGTGGTTTTGTAGTATTTCACAGGGACTTTCTCCAATATGATTGAGTCTGAAACATTTAGTAATCCACGACCTCCGATGCCTAAATACATGTACAAATGTGAAAGTAATGTGACAATTTTGGAATTGGAGTTATCATGCTGTAATACGATAATTATAAAATCACCAATTATGGGAATGGCAAATCTAGTCCTTGTTGTTTTCACAATCAATTTATGGTAATAATCTCGATCATCCTCTGGCTGAAATTTTATGGTTGCAATCATTGTCATGCCGGTTGGAAATTTTCCAACTCGTTGAGAGGCCTCATCAAATTGAAAAACATTATTTTCGTCCATCAAGGTGGTGACTTTTTGTGACAGCTAAATATATTTTTAAATACTAGTTATATCATTTTCACTTATTAATTCATGCATGGCAGAAAGTTGGCAGAGTTATACTTTGCTGATGTTCCGAATTGAGATGGGGAAGCTTAGCGTGTCGCCAAATTTGTAATTTTGGAAGACAATTACGGCTGGTTCTATGAAGAGATCCACGTCCACCTTCCTGCAGGGAACCTTCCTTTGTTGTTTGCATATCAGAGCTCGGCGTTGGTCCGTTGTCAACAAGTTTTCTTGCATATAGTGAGATGGGGATATCTTGGGCAGTGTTCCGATGCCTTGCACATCGATTTGACAGTCCCAAGCTAATTTCAAGGCTGGGAAACTTATGTCTTTTGTAATTAACTGCGACAACACAGAATTCAGGTTCATTTTTTAAATATTATTGACTGACACTAGAGGTATACTTGAGTTTAGCAGGTAGAGTACAGCTAAAAATATCAAAGACGACAATGCTTTCGAACTAAAATATTTATTTTCAAAGATTGATTGCATTTTGGTTGACTTGGGATTGTTTAATTAAGGGCCTGGGGGAAGTTGCTTAGAAATCACGTCAACTTTGACGATAAAATTCAGCAATGCACAAGAGGGCAGATTTTTTAAATTATGTTTAATGCGTTAATCATATCTTTAGATTTTACTTGAGTTTTTTTTGACGATCTGCCCTCTTGTGCAGTGGAGATATTTGGTCGTAAAGTGAGGACAAATTGGCTTAGAATTGCCAAATTAATGGCAGGAATTGCATTTTGAGTATCTATGGAACAAAAGAAACAACTTTTTTCAAAAACTTGAGGGACTTGAGGGAAACTTTTTCAAAAGCAGTGACAAAACCAAAGCTTTTGAACGTGAGTGTCCCATAGAAACGGTGTCAATTAATTGTGGTCGTAACCTAACAGAGCGATAATAATCTTGGGGCCCTGGCAATTATTGTTGCTAACATAAAATCAAGTAAATCTTCCCCCGGGCCCTTAATCAAGATTGAAATTGACACTGTTTCTATGGTGCGTGCGGCACCGCCGGTGCCCTGTTCCGAGTCTGAACTTCCGCCTGCGAGGGGTCGTGATTTGGGGGACATCCTTTTCGCATCATGACAAACTTTTACTTATTTACTTATGGATAAATGTCATATACATAAATGCAAATGTTACTGATTATGATTTATGTATTATTACTATTATTGTATTTATCTTAGATTACAAAGGATGTAAAGTTTACAATTAATTGCAATCAATGAAATCTGCGCTTGGCAATTGTAAATCTTTGAGCTTGCTCCATGTACATTCCAGGAAGGCGTTCAGGATTAAATGTAGGAATATATTCTTCTTCCGGCGTTAGTTGCTTTCTACAGTTTTGTACAATCCAATTGTGTTCCTTCTCATTTGCCCTTCTAAAAAGTTAAGTGCACATATTACTACTTTAATTTTAGCCTTAAAATTTTTAAAATGCAATTTTTCTAAATCTGTTTGTTTCTAATAAATTCAATAAAAGTCATGTACCTAATCAGAATGCCGTCATATCCACGAATTTCGCCGTTTTTAGGGTTATAAATCCCATCACCAACATCGTAACATCCAGGAGGAAGTTTATGAGTGGGATACTGGTCATTGTAGATTGTGTCGCCAGCCTATTAATAGTGCATGGCAGGGATAACAACCATTAAATACAGACAGATTGATTTTAGGCTTACAGGTCGCATTCCATAATATCTCTCAGCACGTAATCTACGGTCGGGAAGTTCACAGTAACTCCAATTTGTACTACTGTACTTCAACCCGTCTCCGAAGGTGATTTCTCCACTAACGTATCGCCCTTGATACCATTGACCCTCAAATGTATCTCCTCTGGGATATTCCATAATTCCGTAATGCTTAGCAGTATGAAAGTGTCCGTCTTTCCATTCACTTTCATACTGAACACCTTTCATAATAATGAAAATAACGAAATTATTTTACACATTTATTTCTGAAGAATTTGAATCGTGTTGAACTTTTGTAGGGTTCAACCTGTTGGGTGATCATAATGACCCTTGTGGAATTGTCGATTTCTGTACTCTCCTTTAAACCTGCTCCCGGTCCAGAAGGTTTCATCCTTGTAGTAATCGTCCCTCAAAGGAGGAAGAATTTTCTTCCGGTTTGAAAAACTAATTATTTGAGGTCCTTGGCGAACTCGATCGGCTAAAGGATCACCCTTTTCAGCTTCAGCCAGGGCAATGTCCATCGACTTTTTTCTATTGGGGACATCAGGTGGTACATAATCGTCGGGTTGTGGGTAGATCTGCAATTAAGGGCAACTACATGTTTGTCACAGATTTATGCACATGTAAGATACACAAGTGATCTCATTTATATTTATTATTCATCTTATTCTTATGCATTTCCAGATATTATTGATTAATGTCATACAGTCATAAATAGCATTCCAGCTTTATCTTCGGGTATAAATGTCATGGCTTTGGTCTGCGAGAACCCTTCTCTGTTGAAAGCAATAAAATTTATGCAGGTTAATTGTATTGTATTGGATAATTGTATTAAAATTATGATCTACAGTTGGGCAGGCTTTCCTCGTCGTTTCCATTTTCTGGATCGATGCAACGTGACCTCCACCATTTCATCAATTCCAACGCCTTGTAAATCAGGGATTGGATCCTCCCTGGTAATATTTTCACCCTTTTCGTAGAAAAGTCGTAGTTTTGAAGGTTCTCCAGGGAGCGTTACAGAAGCGTTCGACGAAATGGAGACTGAGGACCCTGAAATTTTCTCTCGAAGTGTAACACTTTGTTCAGTTAGTTCTTCTTCCTCCGTTTGGCCTTCAAACGCTATCCCTGCATTTTCAAGATAATTTGCAACGTCTTGTTCCAACACCAGAATAACCTCCTCCGCAATTATTTTTGCATCCTCGTAGGATGTGATCTGCATTTGCGATATGCGAATGCTAGCTCCAGAACTCGTTGTTTTTAGCTCAAGCCCATCATCAGATCCAAAAGAATTATCTTCCACTAGTTCATCTGAAACACGGAACGGATTATGCGTTTACATATGCAGACCAAGAAAGTGAAAATAATATTTACAATAAATTAACGAATTTACAAATTTTCATACGCACCCGTGTTCCATTCATCTTCTTTCTTTGGGTGTTTTATAAATTCTACTTCACCGTAACCATCATTTATTTCAATTGAGGACGATCGAACATTTTCCACTCCTTCATAATAATTATTATCTTCCGAATGGACATCAGCTTCACTTAAATTATACTCATCTAGAAACACGTAATCAACAGTCTTAAATAAATATGTTCTTAAAACCCCCGAAATATGTATGTAAAATGCTTAACCAAATCGCCGAAATATGTATAGAAAACATTTTTTTAATTCCTTTTAAATTGCTTCAAATTTAATTTATTTGGCAGCAAGGATGCCAAAAAAAGCTCTTGCGCTTCAAAGAGACAGGCTAACAACATTTTCACAAGCTCTAGTGTCATGTTTCTACGATAATCGGACAAATAATTTACGTTGGCTAAAACTACGATCTGTATGTACAGTTGTACTTTACTCATTTGGAGAAAGTTCAATATTTATTAATTATTTATGTACTGTGAATTTCTAAAGTTTTTCTAAAAGAATCTATATTTTCTGGAAAAATGGCTGAAATATTTAAAAACATATTTATGTGTCAAACAAATATATTTTTGACAAAATCGCCGAAATATGCAAAAACATATTTATAGGTACCAAAACCTCGAAATATGTAAAATATGTGAAAACATTTTTTTGACTGTGACCTATGCCTGACCATAATTAAGATCCATAAGTTCCAATTCAATCTGGCTGTTAAAAAAGTTTAAAATACATACATATTCGGACTCTGATAATCAATCAGGCACACTAAAAACACTTCTAAATTATCAAGGGGGGTACCATTTTCTAGTGGTAAATCCTCGAGAATTTCACGAACTTCCCCGTCGTCCTCATCAGTAAAAAATTGTTCGGTGTCTGTAACCCCTTCGTCAGTTTCAATAGCTTCATCCTCCTCCTCGAGGTTTAGATCTGACTCAGGCTGACCGGTATCCATGTTTGACGACAGAGGAGGTTAGGAGGAAATGGTTGTATTTATGTTGTTCTTGGTCATTTTACTGAGCAGATAAAGATTTGTAAAAGATACGACAAAAAAGGCACATGGTTACGGCGAAGCCTAAAAGTTGGCTTTTTAGCCCGAACCAGGGCTTATGTAATTGTCATGTCCGTCCGTCCGTCTGTCCGTCCGTCTGTCTTTCGATAACTCTCGAACGAGTTGACCGATTTGGACCAAATTTGGTACGGGCAATGCAACGACCGAGTTCGAAGATGGGTTCGATCAGAAAAGTTTTGGACCGGTGGGGGTCATCGGAGTGGGTGGGGTCTTATGCACCAAAATTTCAAAATTGTCGTAGAAAGCTGAAATTTGGCACAGAGGTTGCTAATGGCTCCTAATAGATGAAAATGAGTTCAAGGTGGAAAAATTTTCATCTTGGGGGACCCGAGGGGGTGACCCATACTGATTTTTCAAAATCGTCATATCGAGCTGAAATTTGGTGGAGAGGTTGCTTATGGGTCCTAATGGAAGAATATGACATGAAATTGGTGAAATTTTTATCTAGAGCGACCCTATGGGGTGACCCATATCGATTTTTAGAAATTAACGTAGAAAGCTGAAATTTGGACCAGAGATCCTTACTGCTTTCTCGTGAAATAATATGAAGTTAAATATACTGAGAAACATGGGTTTACTAATCCTGGTTCGGGCTAAGCAAAGCTGTACTGATAGGTTTTAAGTTTTCTCAATGCTCTTGTTTTAAAGTTTTTAGTCGCACCCTCACCAAAGAATGCTGTTTTTTAAATGTAGCGTTATTTACTGGTAAGGTCGAGTCAATGAAAATGTCATATGTACTGTAATTCAATTATTGGAAACCTGATGTGTTTATTAGAATAATGACATTTTCTGGCATCTTATTCACATCGTTAATAATAAACATGAAAATTCCTAAGTATTATTTACAGGATTTTTGATACTTTTATCAGTAATTTGGAGATCAAAATTGCATTAAAAAAATTAGCTCACTTGATACTTTGTACACAAGCATTTATTAAAATTACAGTAATTCGTAAATAAGAATTAAATATATCAAAACGGTGCAAAAGAACTTATTACATATATTAAACCACGTGGATAATAAATACGCAAATTTCTATTTTGGCAATGAGTGTTGTGAATACATGGATGACACCCCATCCGATGAAGTAGCATACAATGGTGCGGAATGAGTTCCATGATGTGGAGGATATATTCCTGGAGGAAAGGACGGAAGATGGATGTGAATTGAGAAAGGAAATGCATATCCTGGTTGTTGTGGGTGGCCAAATTCTGTCGGCATGTGCGAACAATGTCCAAGACCTGGTCCGAAAGAAGACTGAGTAGCTACTGACTGTTGGTATGAATTATGACCAAGGGGACCTGCAGCAGAAGCAATGGTCGAAGTAACCTGGGGATGACTTTGTAAAGGTTGTTGTTGGGCGATTTGCACTTTTTTTCTGCTTGTAGTTTTATCCTTAGATTCTTTGATAGATATTCTTGATGCTTTCACCCTTACAGCTGCAGACGTTGGTTGTCTAATTTCTCCAAGATCTAAAATGTATAGAAAAAGTCAAAATCATAATTTGTTTGAAGTAGATATAGAATAATAGAGTAATTTTTATCCGGCTTACTGGTGGTCACATCTTTTGAGACAATAAGATTTGTGGGCGGAGAAGGAGGATTCTTCCAGATATTATCAGTCTTATCTATTGAAGCAATAGGAGTTGTGGGCGGGGATGGGTTTTTACTTTCACTGATACGGATATTTCCAATCTTATATGTGCAGGCAGTAAGAGCTGTGGATTGAGAAGGAGTCTTCTTTAAGATACTTCCAGTCTTATCCCTGCAGGCAATAAGAGTTGTGGACTGAGGAGGAGTCTTCTTTAAGATACTTGCTGTCTTGTGCATTGAATCAATAGGAATTATGGGTGGGGTTGGATTTTTACTTTTACTGATAGGAGGATCCAGGATATTTGCAGTCTTATCTATGCAGGTAATAAGAGTTTTGGATCGGGATGGTTTTTTAGGTTGGACAGAAGCTTTGCAAGCCTCTAAAATATAATTAGCAATTTCGCTATGGTCAGCTCCATCAGACATTGAGTTTATCAAGAATTTTTGGACTGCTATAGCCGACGGAACATCAGGTGTAGCTCCATCGCTTTGTTTCTTTTCGATTGACTGAAGATATTCTTCAAGAAAATCCGTCATATTGTTATTGTTAGACGCAATGGATGTGTCCCGATTTCCTACGAGGGTCTTTTCATTTTGTGATTCATATAGACCAAGCATTGTTGATTCATTGGCAACATTGTCGACAGGAAATGAGGACCGTGATTGAAAGTAGTTAGTCATGGACAGTGGATTATGAGAAAATGACATGTTTTGCTCGGAAACGAATGTAGCATCTTCAGATTGGAGGAATTGAGCTCGAAATTCTTCTTCCTTATCCATTTCACGCTTTGCTTCGTCAGCACTCATGAATTGCTCTTCAACTTGAACAGTTGACCGCTGAGCAAGGTCCTCAAACTCCACCAACTCCCAATCTTTTGCCGGAAGAGACTTTTCCATCACTTTGTCAAACTCGTCCCACGAGTCCTCAATATTCATACCACCGTCACCTTCTTCCATTCTTGTTGAGGTGAGGAAGGATTGACCTAAGGATTCTCGACACTGATAATCCAATCCTGACATTTTTCTGAGAACTTCAAGCTTTGCTTCTACATCCATATCTGTTGTGTGACAATCCGGCACAGCCATTAATGTTTCTGATGTGTCGTTCTCTTTGTCATCCACATGCATCAAGAACGAGGAAGAACTGTTGGCTACTACAATAAACAAATGCACAATGAATCAAATATTCCTTATTGGTAACCTTAGACTCGAATTAAACCACGAGTAACATAAAAAGTTCATTCAGCCTGCATACCGTCCAATCTTTTACTAAAATAATTGATGACGGATGACAATGAAAAATCCTGTGAATCCCTGAACGAGAAACGCTTATCAGTCTGGAAGTTTGGAAAGATGGGAGACACTTGTGATGTCCCTCCACTGCTAGGACCAGTCAACTTTTCCATCTCGATTTACCTAGAATATACAATTTACATTTTTGTTATTTTTGCTCAAATAATATTTAAACACATTCGATGCAACCTTATTACTCACTTTAATAACACTTTTCTCAATACACCACAAAAATAAAGTTTACTTTAAAATACTAGACTTCACACATTTTTCCGTAACATACACAAAAGGAACTCGCGACTTTAAAAATAGTAGAATGACGACAAGTGAAGTGAAGTGAAGGATAAATCTATTTAGGAAAAGGCACAGGCGGTTAGGAGAGCGCTTTTTATTTTGAGGTTGTCCAATGAGAAGCCGCAGCAATTTCTCGCCTCGCATCGAGTTTGCTCCTCGGCCACCTAAAACACAACTCCCGAATACGAATAGCCAAACTGAAGCCACACTCAAAACAAGTACACACTGAGACGACGGCACAACAATAATCGGGGCAGGTGATTCCTTCCAACAACAATCACCACCAACTAATCCCAAGTTACCAACCAGCCACTTTTTACCACATGAAAGAAAGGGTTGAGATCTGCAAGCAATCATAAAGACACTCCGGTTAGAGCCTGGTTGTGCCACTGCACTGGACACACTTCCACAAACTGACATATAATTTAAATAAGTTCCTTTTAAAAATTTTGTAAAAATATAAATAAGCGTGGCATAGTTCTCTGCTTTCTGCAATCCGAAAGTGGTCATATTTTTAGCTGGATCTCACAAGACTTGGTGAAATATTAACCTGGCCTATAAGATAATTTTTAATTTCGTAAGTTTGTACTTTTTTGACTAATCTTACATATAAGAAAACAATTCGGCGTTAATCATTTTTTAAAGAACCGAGCGGAATTCATTGCATTAAGCATAATTATTAAGAGTCTACTGGTTGGCATCAATTGTATGCTTACTATTAATGAATTTGCGTCGTCTCTAGTTGAACTATGAGTGTCTTTTAATAAAATTAACGAGTGAAGCAGCCAAGCCCATGAAGACATGTGATAAAAGAACGAGTAAACAATAGTATCAAGTCAAATCGACTTCTTTGTCGAGTTGCAATAAAAAAAAGTGTTGCATTGTGCCACTACTGACTCCTCCGCTGCTTCATCACTTTCTGGTATTACTAAATAACATGTCTGTTGTCTGCGGCTGACTCACACGACAACGGTCTGACTTCAGACTTTATCTGCAAAAACAAACTTGTTTCACGACTCTACTATATGTGCTACTTTGCATCGATCAGCTAATAATATGTAGTTATGTACGTCGACAAGTGATTTAACTTTTAAAGCATAATTCTCTCATTGATCCGGTGAACACGATTACTAGCGGTGGTGGGAGGTGTGAAGAAAATCGAAAAATCAGCAGCGATCAGTGAGTGTTTTGTGAAAAGTTCAGATCATAGATTCATAAAACAAGTGATTGACAAACAACAATGGTTAATAATTTTTCCAAGTCACATATTATCTACTTCTGACAATCTCATTATTAAATGAATCCTTGGATTTGATCTATTATTATATTATTCTTAATCACCAATCACGCTTATGCCGATTGCATGGTTGATTTATGATTTATTTTAATCAATGCAAATCCTATGACAAATAGTCATTAAACCGTTAACTGTTCAATAATAACCGTCAAACAAATCAAACTGCCGTTATATATCATAAATAATTGATTTCTTAACCACTGACAAACTGCCGTCTCGAAACAAAGGACAAATTTCGCGAATGTTCATTTTAGCCAATACATGATGCCGTTTAGTGTTTAGGATACCTCTCTGATTTGATTGTTGCCAGTTGATAATTGAAACTACAATGGAACATATTAGAGAAAAATCATCCCGGAACAAGTCCGATCGAGACAAGGACAAGCGTTCCAAAAATTCCTCATCGGCCGAATTGAGCATGGACGTGTCCCAGTTGCCTCAAGACATTCGGGACAAATTGGCAGAATTGGAGTTGGAGTTATCAGAAGGTAGGAAAATATTTTATGATAATTTTTTACTTGTTTATATAAAATAAATAACACATCAGAGCCAATTCACAATTTGTATTTATTTATTACTGTAGTGGTTGGCACCTATTGTTCTATTGAGTGAGTAATGAGGTTTCAAAAATTAATTTGATTAGATTTAATTATGTGACAAGAATTGATGGATAGATGCTAGAAATGATGTCTAGCAATAACTCATTCATAGAGCAGTGCGTGCATATTAATCTGATTGATGGACAATTTTATTCGATAAGAAGAATGGTTTTATTATTCATGTTCGTCTTGTCTCGTCGTAATTCAGTAGGTGGATACGATACCAATAAAATAAGAGGGAGTTGGTTACGCTATACATACAGATAAGTAATGCATGAGAATTCATGAAAAATAAAATTGTGAGACGGAATTTTGTTGTTGTCTTTCTTACAAATCGTCGGGAAGGAATTATGCAACGTTAAACATACATGTGGCAGCTCCTAATTTGGGAATGCACAAACAAGGAAGTTTTATTTGTATCAATAACCAAACTAGTTGGTGCCGACCATAAACTAAAGGAATGTGGAATTCCATAATTTTATCACCTAAATTTATAGTTATCTTAGCTCATCCCCATTCATCCGACTAATTCAGAGTGAATATTAAAGCTGTGATGTCAGTCGAGTCGGGCCAACGTATTATTGAGTTGATTACCCTTAATGAAGAAACAATTATTATAATATGGCTTGTATTTTTCTCAAAGTTTCAATTTACACCTGATGAAGGAAAAAGTGTTTTCCGAAAACTTTTGATAAACGTAAACATCTTTGAATTCCTTGAGTGAAAATATGTTTCTTAATTATTACTTTGATTTATCTACGCTGAAATTTGTAAGAAGCAAATCGTATACACAAATACATACATGTGTGATTTGAATTGGTCATCGGCTTGGCGTCGCAACAACCTCTTCTTCCAGCATTTATCTAAGAGTGCAAGCTAAACAGGATGTCAGACAGGTTTTAGGAATGTTGCCTTGTGTGGAATCTTATAATAATCAGACCTGATCGGAATGCCCTTCCGCCCTTTAGTTATAAAAATGCATACAAAAATAAATTATCATGATATTAGTACTATTATAATTATCAGAACAAATAGCTCAAGCCTATCTACGCAAAATCAGAATATTTTTTGAATAGAAGTGATTACAAATTGATTTGACATATTGTACATCCAAATATCCGTCTTTAACAGACCAAACTAAATGAGGAAACCTGCCTAAACAGTCAAATTAACCAAGACCAGCAAGTGAATCTAATATCCAAACTAAACAAGGAGGAAATCCATATCGGTTAAATTTACGATTGCTTTTGACATTTACTTTGCTTTTCTTCGTCATGACCAGCAATCATACAGAGAGTGCACATTAAACGCACGGTATACCTACCTAACCCACACCTGCGGCGATTTACTTTATTTAAAATGTAATGACTCATGGAGTGCTGCAGCCATTTCTCAAATATTAAGCTATGCATGTAACGATAAATGGAGAATAAATGACCACGGTCAGATACATCACCATTTCTTCTTTACATATGTGCCATTATCGATGTATTGTCATCATATAATTATATTCATATTAATAATGCTTAAGAAGACACTATCCTCTCCACCTTTATTTAACCATATGACATTGTATTTGTCAAGAGTCAAGACACTCCATTGCATCGATTGAGCAAAGTTATAAAACCCGGTAATGGCGACAGGAATACTTTAAGATCGTTTATAGTGCTAAGATATTAAGTGCATTTCGTCTACAGTCATAAACAGCATATTTGACCACCATTAGACGATTGACTAGGCGTACTTATGCCAAATCATGACACGATATACATGCTAATCCTAGGCTCACACTATGACAAATTCTAGCGTCTGTCTACAACCACTGCACTGTAATTAGGCAGGAAAGGGTCCTCTATTTTATGAGAGGAACCATTATTTTAGTCCTTATGAAATATAGGGGAAAAGTACAAATCATTGCACTGTCGTCTTGTATTATCGAGCATACAAAAACTAATGGAATATTTTCATAGCTAGAACATATTTTAGAAGCAACCGGAGCAACGCACTTGTATGTTTTGTAAGTATGAAATACGAAATTTCTAGTTGGGGCTCATTAATGCTGTTGTTCTTAAATGGCACACAAGATTTGACATAGTCGAAAAATTGGCAAATGAACAAAATTATAGCAAAATACGTTACTTTATGAAAGAAAGCAAGGAACGCAAAAAAGAATTTATGAAAGGACTTCTTGAGGAGAAGTGCGATTTGTGGCAGTAGATGGAACTGAGATGATGACTGCTGCACGCCTTTGTTCAGATTTTGACTTTATCAAGTGAATTTGTACACACATTACTACAACGTTATTTAAAACACTACTGCATGCATGCTCATAAATTAATTTTTGTATGCTTTAGTCATCTTAACATTTGAATTGATCAAAAGTTCCTGAGACGCGAAATAGCATTACAAATGTGTTGTATTTAACTGATTTCACATCTACTTAATGGAAATAAATTTTCAAAAGTCGTTATCATGCAATTCGTCCAAGGTGAACTTAATTCATTAATTTACGAACACTTCCACCTCAAAGCCCATTTAATTAAATCACACATACAGCACTATATTTTTGCATTCTATATTTGTACGGTCATTATTCGGTATTTGGTTACAGCAAGTAAGTAATAATGACAAAGTGATATTGTGTCTACTTGTATTGCTGAATTTTCAAAAACAACAGTTAGTAGTATACTGAATGTTAGATAAATCTTAATTGTAATGAATATTGTTATATATAGAGTGAGATATTGAATCTGAGACGTAGAATGAGCTCAACTTTTTAATCTCTCCTTTTTCTTTGCGTTTCACTTTTCAAAGCTTATCTCATTGTAATCCCAGTGACACCCACCCAACAATATTCTGCTGTCTGTCCTCCATCGTCTCAATATAGTATCACATCTTATCATCACAACAGTCATTTTCGCATAAGCCAGGCTCTATATATAGAGGAATGATAATATTATTGCGCAAATCAAAATCATGCATGCACTAGATTCCTAAACGGCGTTTTCATCTCATCTCGACTTAAAGATTCAATGATCCTAATAATACAATAAGTTCTTTGTCAATTGTCGTCATCAGGTTCCTCCTCTTAATTTTGTATTCTCTTTTTCAGACTTCTACTCATAATGCAATATTCGGATGGCAAAATTCGCAACAATGCACGCGTTTC